CTCCCATACAGATTCACTATGCACATGGACACAAACAGCTATATTTTCAGAACAAAAAAGGTAGGAATCTGCAGCAAAGTTTTTTTTAAAAGCCTTGCAATGTACATAAATCACTCAGAGGAGAATGTTGTGTTGTTTTTTTTTATATCATCAACAAAAGAGTGGAGCTACTTTTTAACACAAGTAAATAGAATATTTTCTCTTGTACCAAATTGAATTGTAACCAGGGGCGGACTGACCATTTGGGAACTGGGCACTGCCCGAGGGCCCAGGGTCAGTAGGGGGGCCCATGAGATGCCCCTGGTACTTTTTCATAGGCTTTTTTGGGTGTGGTTTGAGTGTGGGGCAAGGACACAGGGGCCCCATGATCCCCTGTTGCCCGGGGGCCCCATGAGTTGTCAGTCCACCCCTGATTGGTAACTATAATGTCTACCTTCATTTTGTAAAGTGCTGCGCAAACTGTCGCCGCTATATAAATCCTGTATAATAATAATAATATTAAATAGGCTCAAATGGTGGTTTCTGTAATACTGCCAAGACCAAGTTCATATCCCAAGGAGACAGGGGCTGTCTAACAGGAGGAACTGTATGGATCACTCCTTACAAAACAGTATGAACCAAAGAGTGAGACACAATGGGTGTCTGGAAAAAACAGCCAAAGCTGAAACTTGCCCCTTAAATGGTACCAACATCTTCCTTCTTTTCCCAAACCCGATTGTAGAAAAGAGAAAATCCTATCAATCATGTATTTTCGCAGATTCCATTTCCAGACCTCACACCAGGAAATAAGCGTTTCTTGAGTTCAACATCGGGAGGATGACTGAATCCGACACCTCTCGGTCTCTCTGCCACTCTAAAACTGGGTGCAATATTGGTTCCTGAGACAGCAGGTCTGGCCAGTATGACAGAGGCCATGGACCGTCCACTGCTAGTTTCACTATGCATACCATACCGTCCTGGGCAATCAATATCACTAGAATTAACTCTTCTTGAATCTTGCACAAGAGATGCAGCAGCAGCTGAATCAGCAGAAAAACGTAAATAAGGAAAAACTGGTTCCATGCTATTTCCAAGGCATCTACCCCCTACTGTGAGAGGGTCCCGTATCTGGGACACAAACCTGTCCAACTTGCTGTTGAACCAGCATGTCAATAGATCTAAGTCCAGGCGCACCCCCCAACACTGGCAGATTGTCGCAAAACCATTGGGATGCAAGGTCCATTCCCTCGGAACTGGAAGTGTGTTTTATTCAGAACCAGTTAAACACTTTTTCATGATCAGTAAGCTCATCAATGAAGTCTATGTGGGGTTCCTGTCACTGTGGAGCTCTCTCATGAAGCTAATCCAGCCTGCAGCTGTAGGGTAAGCAGAGAACACCAGGTCCAAGATGGTCGCTGCTCTTCGGGGATGCCTAGTGGAATTCACGCCGCCAGCGTGGAGTGCATTAGCCAGAAGTGCTGTCAAAGGGAGCAGTGACGCATTTCGGAGCATGTGCGGTAAGCTCCTTCATCAAGACTTAAAACCCCATAGAGATGAGACAAGAGGCGGTGTATTGGCATTCACTGGACAAAGAGGGAGGGGGAGAGGTGGATGCTAAAAACTGTGCCATGTATATTACTGTTTCATGCAGAGACGCCCTCAGACTTTCCATTTTGTTTTCCATTCCCCCCAAAACCTCAGCCAGGGACAAACCTTCACCCATCACGGCGGCCTGTCGTGTAGACCTTCAAAGACTCTGTCCCCTCTGAACTGGGGCTACTGACTTGGACCTGTATAGCACACCGTCGGAAAGTGCCTTGGTCAGTATTTTACTGACACGGGGCTTCGTTATGCAGGGTCCAGTGCCGTAAGGCAGCAATACAGGCAAAAGCCCGAACATTCTTCTCCTCATCCAGCAAGGCTCGGGTATCATCCATTTTGTCTAACAGCTTTTTGAATGGATCCAAATGAATTCTCTGATTCTCAACAGAACCGTTCTGGACCTCTGGGTATGTTCACAGAGCACATGCAACACACCAGTGACCATCCACCTTACAGACACCGGCAAAAAGCTGAAGTTCTCTAAACGCCTTTATCAAGCAAAAGTCAATCACAATTCATAATGTGCAGGGTTACAGGACTACAGGGATAAGGAGGGAGGACTTCCTCTCGATTGGTCAGCCTACGTCCATTCAACTATAGGTGGCATATAACCCACATAGTCATGAATAGCCTGCTCTTTGTCCTCTGATGTATGATAAAAGACATGTTAATTGCCTGACTGCAAAGCAAAAGCTCATGTCTAGTTATTTAAATCACAGACACTGAACAAGCATACATCTGGTAAACAGTTAATCCATATGCTGGTGCTTCCTCCTAAACACTTTTTTGTTGATTGACGAATTGTTAATATCTGTGCTACTGGGTGAGCATTGCCCAGGGCTGCTTCATAAATCCTTGGAGTGCAGGCATAAGATTGAGACTATATGATGCATTCATTGAAGCCAGAACTCCCATTGTGCATGCTTTTCCAGGTCTAAGACACTATTGTAAAGCCCCGTTATCAGCATAACAAGACAGCTACCATTCTAGATTGTAAGCTCCAAAGAGCAGGGCCCTCATACCCCTCGTGTATTGTATTGTTACTGTCTTGTCGCATGTTTTGTCCCCCTCGCTATTGTACAGCGCTGAGCAAACCCTTTGGCGCTATATAAATACTGTATAATAATAATAATTTTTGAATGGGGTTAGCTATATTTCCCCTAATGGAATTTTACCACCTTTTTATCCCTGTAGTCCTGTAACCCTGCACATTATGAATTGATTGATTTTTGCTTGATAAAGGCATTTAGAGACCTTCTCTCCAGTAATTCTGAGCTGGTATAGTTGAGTAACAGCCCTCAGCACAAGAGTTCTTACACAGATTTACAGTGCATCCAGTAAGTATTCACAGCACTTAACTTTTGCCACATTTTGTTATGTTACAGTCGTATTCCACAATGGATTAAATTCATTTTTTTCTTCAACATTCTACAAACAATACCCCATAATGACAAAGTGAAAGAAGTTTATTTTGAAATCTTTCCAATTTATTAAAAAAAAAAAAAAAAATAAAAAAAACCCACATGTACATAAGTGTTCACAGCCTTTGCCATGACACTCAGAATTGAGCTCTCATGCATCCTGTTCCCACTGTACATCCTTCCGATGTTTCCACAACTTGACTGGAATCCATATGTAGGAAATTCAGTTGATTGGATATGATTAGGAAAGGCAGAAACCTATCTATATAAAGGTGCCGCTGTTAACAGTACATTTCAGAGCACAAACCAAGCCATGAAGTCCAAGGAATTGTCCGTAGTCCTCCGAGACAGGATTTTATCAAGGCACAGATTTGGGGAAGGGTACAGAAAACTTCTCTCTTGCATTGAAGGTCCCAATGAGCACAGTGGCCTCCATCATTCATAAATGGAAGAAGTTTGGAACCACCAGGAATCTTCCTAGAGCGGGCCGCCCAGCCAAAATGAGCGATCAATGGAGAAGGGCCTTAGCCAGGGATGTAACCAAGCACCCGATGGGCAAAGAGCTCCAGCGTCTCTCTGTGGAGAGGAGAACCTTCCAGATGAAGGACCATCTCTGCAGCACTCCACCAATCAGGCCCATATGGTAGAGTGGTCAGACGGAAGCCACTCCTCATTAAAAGGCAAAATGGCAGTCCGCCTGGTGGCAGCATCATGCTGTGGGGATGTTTTTCAGCGGCAGGAACTGGGAAACTAGTCAGGATCAAAGGAAAGATGAATACAGCAATGTACAGAGACAACCTTGATGAATACCTGTTCCAGAGCGCTCTGGACCTTAGACTGAGGTGACGGTTCATCTTTCGACAGGACAATGACCCTAAGCACAGAGCCCACATAACAAAGGAGTGGCTATGGGCCAACTCTGTGAATGTCCTGGAGTGGACCAGCCAGAGCCCAGACTTGAACATGTTGAACATCTCTGGAGAGATCTGAAAATAGCTGTGCGTCGGCACTCTCCATCCAACCTGATGGAGCATGAGAGGTACTGCAAAGAAGAATGGCAGAAATTGGCCAAAATAGGTGTGCCAAGCTTATAGCATCATACTCAAAACGGCTTGAGGCTGTAATTGGTGCTACAGGTGTTTCAACAAAGTATTGAGCAAAGAATGTGAATAGTACATGTGGTTTTTTATTTTTAATAAATTGCAAAGATTTCAAAATGAACTTCTTTTATGTTATCATTATGGGGTATTGTTTGTAGAATGTTGAGGAAAAAAATGAATTTAATCCATTTTGGAATAAAGCTGTAACATAAAACAAAATGTGGCAAAAGTTAAGCGCTGTGAATGGTTTTTGGATGCACTGTAAAAATTGCAGAGAAACCGAGGGGGTGTGTGCCAGACCACATATGTTACTAAATGCTGATTACTGAGTGCACTAGGTCCAACTCTGAATATAAATGCACGGTTCAGTAGGTAAAAGACACCCTGCACAACTACTTTAAAAGGGGGGGGGAGTAGAGAAAAGACTAAAAAAAAAAAAAAAAAAAAAAAAAAAAAAAAAAAACAAAAAACATGAGGTTGATCGTACAGTGACTCCAAATGGACACTACAGTAGTCAGTATTCTCCATGTATAAACTCATGTAAAAAGAAAAGGGTGGACATCAAAAGATTTAATTTTCTTTTAGAAAGAAAATTCTGTAAACAAAAGTTAGATACACAAAGAAAACATAAAAAGATCACAGTACCATTAAAATAAACTGTAAATGTACAAGAGCGTGCTATGTACAAGTTTAAAAAAATAATTTCCCTTCATACTACGCCTGCTATAAATAAGTCCATTTTCTCCCAGGATTTGGCATTAAAATGTAGGCTAAAATGTCTTGAAATGTCCAAGCAGAAAGACCCAAAATATAATTTTTCAAGTACCTATCAATTTCCCCCATAGTTCCCAACCATAAATATGTCTAGATATGTAGAAGCAGAGGATTCCTGGGGCTCCTAGAGGCCATTCCTCACCGACTGGTGAATACCATTTTCATCTATTGTAAGAGGTGCATGGAACTCCTTGTTCTTCACATAAGGCTCCAGGCCCTGGTTGATAAAAAATAAAAATCAGAACTGTTCAGTGAGCAAATCTGAGAGAAAACGGACCCACAATCATCAGACAGGTATTCATAACTCCCCCCCCCCCCCCCCCCCCCCCCCAAAAAAAAAAAAAAAAAAAAAAACAAACACACACTTTTCCAAGAAAAGCAAAAATCTTCCCTTGCACTGCCTTCGAACTACAAGGGTAAATGCTCATTTATGTCTACGGTACTGGTAAAAGCACTTAGTCCTACCTGATCCTCCCTCCAAGCTGTAAGACCAGCACCCACAGCTTATTCTTATTGCCCTTACGCTCCAACAGTCATGTGATCTCTGATACCTTCAAGTACAACGCAAGGCTGACAAGCGACAGCTCACAAGCCGGAGCTTAGGAAAGGTCAGGATAGCTGACAGCTGTGGGAGCAGTGGGATCAGTCAAGTAAAAATGCTTTCTAGTGCCTTAAATATAAGCAAGCATTTAACCCTTGTAATGCAGAGGCAGCCCCACTGCAAGGGAGGTTTTTGATTTCCCTGGAGACATGCTTTACCCTTTCTTACTGTCCAGGCAGAACTGCAAGTTAAGGCAAGAGAACACAATAGGTTTCCCAATATACACTAAACTGGCCATCTAATAAAGCTTCAGATCAGCCCAAAAATGTCATGTTAACCATTATACCACACCTACTACAAAAGGCAGGGTTCAGATAATACAGAACAACCTAGATTCTCATAGGGTCTACAGCTACCAAGAAAACAGAAATACTAAACTGGATTACCTGCATACCCAAATACAAGACAGTATAAAATTAAAGAACACCAAAGTAGGTTAAAATGCATTAGTCCAGTAAGAAATGTACCTACATAAAAAAAAAAAAAAAAAAATCTATCTATTTATATACAGTCAGGTCCATAAATATTGGGACATCAACACAATTCTAACATTTTTGGCTCTATACACCACCACAATAGATTTGAAATGAAACAAACAAGATGTGCTTTAACTGAAGACTGTCAGCTTTAATTTGAGGGTATTTACATCCAAATCAGGTGAACGATGTAGGAGTTACAACAGTTTGCATATGTGCCTCCCACTTGTTAAGGGACCAAAAGTAATGGGACAGAATAATCATAAATCAAACTTTCACTTTTTAATACTTGGTTGCAAATCCTTTGCAGTCAATTACATCCTGAAGTCTGGAACGCATAGATATCACCAGACGCTGGGTTTCATCCCTGGTGATGCTCTGCCAGGCCTCTACTGCAACTGTCTTCAGCTCCTGCTTGTTTTTGGGGCATTTTTTTCCCTTCAGTTTTGTCTTCAGCAAGTGAAATGCATGCTCAATCGGATTCAGGTCAGGTGATTGACTTGGCCATTGCATAACATTCCACTTCTTTCCCTTAAAAAACTCTTTGGTTGCTTATGCAGTATGCTTTGGGTAATTGTCCATCTGCACTGTGAAGCGGCGTCCAATGAGTTCTGAAGCATTTGGCTGAATATGAGCAGATAATATTGCCCGAAACACTTCAGAATTCATCCTGCTGCTTTTGTCAGCAGTCACATCATCAATAAATACAAGAGAACCAGTTCCATTGGCAGCCATACATGCCCACGCCATGACACTACCACCACCACCATGCTTCACTGATGAGGTGGTATGCTTAGGATCATGAGCAGTTCCTTTCCTTCTCCATACTCTTCTCTTCCCATCACTCTGGTACAAGTTGATCTCGGTCTCATCTGTCCATAGGATGTTGTTCCAGAACTGTGAAGGCTTTTTTAGATGTCGTTTGGAAAACTCTAATCTGGCCTTCCTGTTTTTGAGGCTCACCAATGGTTTACATCTTGTGGTGAACCCTCTGTATTCACTCTGGTGAAGTCTTCTCTTGATTGTTGACTTTGGCACACATACACCTACCTCCTGGAGAGTGTTCTTGATCTGGCCAATTGTTGTGAAGGGTGTTTTCTTCACCAGGGAAAGAATTCTTCGGTCATCCACCAGAGTTTTGTTTTCTGTGTTCTTCTGGGTCTTTTGGTGTTGCTGAGCTCACCGGTGCGTTCCTTCTTTTTAAGAATGTTCCAAACAGTTGTTTTGGCCACGCCTAATGTTTTTTTGCTATCTCTCTAATGGGTTTGTTTTTGTTTTTTTCAGCCTAATGATGGCTTGCTCCACTGATAGTGACAGCTCTTTGGATCTCATCTTGAGAGTTGACAGCAACAGATTCCAAATGCAAATAGCACACTTGAAATGAACTCTGGACCTTATATCTGCTCATTGTAATTGGGATAATGAGGGAATAACACACATCTGGCCATGGAACAGCTGAGAAGCCAACTGTCCCATTACTTTTGGTCCCTTAACAAGTGGGAGGCACATATGCAAACTGTTGTAACTCCTACATCGTTCGCCTGATTTGGATGTAAATACCCTCAAATTAAAGCTGACAGTCTGCAGTTAAAGCACATCTTGTTAGTTTCACTTCAAATCCATTGTGGTGGTGTATAGAGCCAAAAATGTTAGAAATTGTGTTGATGTCCCAATATTTATGGACCTGACTGTGTATATATAAATATATATATATATATATATATCATTGAAAAATATATATATATATAACCTGGAATAAATATAATATATATAAAATGTATTATGTTTTATATTTTTTATGTGTGTACATTTCTTACTGGACCAATGCATTTATATATTAAAGCTTGCTTTTCCTACAGAAAGAGTCACATGTCCCTCATGTGTTTCTCAATATGCCCCCTTCCCTTTAGGAAATCTGACAGCAGGAATCACTGACTCAGAGTTCAGCCTCAAAAATACAGTAATATAAAAACACAGTTCAGCTGCCATCACACAATCATTCCTCAGAAACCAAATATTGAGTAATATTTGCTGTAAATTGCTAGAGTTGAAATCTTTGCACGTCATAGCTAGACAGATCTGAGTGCAGACTAGCTGGAGCACACATGGAAGAAATGACTGTATAGAAGAATATGACCTTTAGGACCCACATCAATGGAATTTGGGTTTGTATTGATGGGCAAATTGCAGCATGCTTCCAGGAGCTTTCCAGATCAGTTTGAGACGATTTCATGTCAATTTACAGTTCACTGACAGTATGGGGGAGATTTACTAAAACTGGAGAACTCAAAATCTGTTGCGGCTGTGAATGGTAGCCAATCAGCTTCTAACTTCAGCTTCTTCAATTAAGCTTTGACAGTTTGAGCGAAAAAAAAAAAAAAAAAAAAACTGGAAGTTGATTGGTTTCTATGCAGAGCTGCACCAGATTTTGCACTCTCCGTTTTTAGTAAATCTCCCTCTATTTGTCCTACAGTTGACCTCCTTTTGGATTCTCTCCATCTTGCATAGGAAAAAAAACAGTAGTATATTCTGGCATTGAAAAAACCCAATGACACAGCCCTTACACAGGCATGGACTGCAAATTGTAGTACTCTGCAGGCACAAAATTCTTTTGAATCTTTCTGCAAAGGGAAAACTTCTGTAAGGCTACTTTCATACTGATTTGTAGCAAAAGCGCACAAGTGGTTTTGCCACTTTTTACGTGTGTTTGTAGAGCATTTTTTAAAGCACATGCAATTCAAAAACTGCACCAAAAACGCAACACAGGTGCACTTTTGCCGTATTTTTAATTGATTTCAAGAAGTAGGTGCACTTTTTTACCGCACCAAAAATGCAGCAAGCAGGACTTTGAAAAACGCACTGGACCCGCAAAAGGATCAGTGTGAAGAGTTCCACAGGAATACATGGTCAAATGTTTTTCTTCTGTTTTTTGTAATGCAAAAATGGAAGAAAAACAGATCAGTGTGAAAGCAGCCTAAAAATGGTAGAGGTCTATGATGACTACGAGGATTTCTACTCACACTAAGTGTTAGGTTCGGAGAGTGGAGACTTTGCACAAAATTTTTAAGGTACCTACAGATAATATATGGTGTTCAGATATAAAAGGCATGCGGATGGAGGAAAGCTTCCTGTTGAGCCTTTGTATTCTGACAGAGTCTTCTCCGCTATCAGACTACAGAGATCAGTGTTGCTGGCTATAGCTGGTGACACTGATGGGGGATAAATCAACTTGTGTACAGCAAGCCTGCACATACATGGATTGAAATTTACGAGTCCCTGCCAGGGGCGGACTGACAACTCGTGGGGCCCCCGGGCAATAGGGGATCATGGGGCCCCTGTGTCCTTGCCCAAACTCAAAAAAGCCTATGAAAAAGGTACCAGGGGCATCTCATAGGGCCCCCTACTGACCCCGGGCCCTCGGGCAGTGCCCGAGTTTCCAAATGGTCAGTCCGCCCCTGGTCCCTGCTGAACCGACCAAATTTCGATCCATGTATGGCTGCTGCCATAAGTCTGTCTTTCCATCTTGAGATAACTGAAACATTGATCACAGTGCATTTCCTCCACCCAGAAGCAATGTTTCAGTAACATCTGACACCACTACATGTGTGCTCAGCAAACAACTTTTATCTCTAGTTAGGATAGTTAATGTTTACTGTAATATCTGTATGGAAGTTCTTACACAAATGCATAGAGCACTGCCTAGGGTCATAGGGTAGCCTTAAATTTTAGAACTTACCTCTCCAGAGTAAGAGACAAGTGGGGAAATCTCACACTCAATGGGCACATCACTAGCATCCTGCATACTAAAATGGAAAAAAAAAAAATAAGACATATGAACAGGTGGTAGACTTTTACTGTGTAATGCCAGTGATAGCTGACAGATAAAGTCCGCTCCTCAGCCAAGCTAAACAATATACAGAACTAGAAGAGATAACCAGGGAAAGAAGAGTAAAGATCATGCACATCTGCAGATTAGTAACCACATGCTTCACTGAGAGAAGCCTGCAGAAAAACAGAACATATCTGACTTCCAATTAGAAGCGCCTAAACTTTGTAATAGTGATCAGGGCAGTCAATCAGACTTGCTATATCTGCACTGATTCCATCAGTGAAGCTTTAAAAGGAACGGTCCCCTCAGTTAATAGACTGTTCTAATCTAGGGTGAAGAGCTTGCAATAATATAAAGTTCAATAAATTAGATCTGGCCAATTTTAATTAAGAACTAAATCAACCCCTCCCTGATCAAATAGTTTATGGCTGGGTGCTTTTGGAAGTGCATTGCTTCATAGGCTGCTGACACATGGAAGGGGGTAAATATAGGCAGGACAGTGACAGCTAGGTCCAGTCTGGATCATACACATTAAATGTATTTCATAGGAAGGGTGGGGGGATATATAGAGGATTTAGTGTAAAAGGTACCACTACTCTTTAAAGCAAACCTGCCATTGGAAAAATATGAAGGTTGCCAATGTTAATAGTAACGTATGCTTACCAACTGGGAGTACTTTACAGTACTGACCAAGAAATATGCAAACATCTTCTCAGATTTGCATACTTCTTTCAGGATAGTAACTAAAAAAGTATAAAGGAGCGGGACAGCCAGGCAATCGGCACTTTCAGAAGAAGGTCATCAATGGCAGCGTACGCATTTCTCTTATGAAAGGTTTACTTTAATGCTACACAGCAAAGATTGCAAAAGATTGACAAATATAGTAGACTTTGAAAAACACCAAAATAACTAATTACTGTAAATCATAAGTTCTGAGAATTTTTAGCTTATTTAAGGAAACAAAGAGCTATTATGCAACAGCAACCAGAATTTGGACTTGATCCGTAAACCATACAACAGATTAAACCATCCATAGTGATGGGAAAATCTGACAGATTGTGCAGGACACGCAAAGAGATGTCTGCATGCACAATCCACCATGCCTGCCAAATGGCTGCATCTTCTGTCCCTTCTGAACCATGTGTGGGAGAGTCTGCAGCAGCCCGTAAGACAAGAGTCTTTACAGCATAAACGTGTTCCATAAATTCAATTCTACCTGACAGGCAGTGGTTACTGCATAAAACACACTGCTCTTTGATTTATTAAATAATCCTAAAATCCTTCCCAGCTATACATTAAAATCTTATAAATCACCTTTGTACACAATCCCTGACTCCTAACTGGAGGATATCAGAAAATCTTTACTAGCTGTAGGACATGCAGAAATGTGTATGCGAACGCCTGTGAGAAGAGTTATAAGAAAAGACAGGAGGACTTTTTAGGTATTAAATTCCCTCCACCATGAAGCAGAGACTCCGGTTAGTAGAGACCCTGCACCATGCACCCATAATTACGTAGTTTTAGTCTGGTCCTGCGCGCTTCCATTCTCTTTTCTGGATTGGCTGTTTTAAAGATAAACAGGCGGTGAAAGACTGCTCTGCATCCTCAATACCCAGCTTTGTATACAATAATCAAATGGAGTCCATCTGACAAACACCTGACATTGTAAGACAGGACAGTGAACATGCCAATATACATGTAGATTATCTGCAGAGATAGGTCATTGTCTACCAATAAACAATCTGTGTGTCATTACAGATTTTCAAGGAAGACATATCTTCTTAGATATCAAACTGCCAGGATGCAATAATTTAAAGTAGAACTGAAGGCAAAACATTTTCTATAGGAGGTTATAACCCCTGTCAGGTCTTTTTTTTTTCTTAGTTGTTTACCTTGTATCCCATTGGAGAAATTTCCTTTCACTTCCTGACCCATAGGTTGACACTAGTGCAATTTCAGACGTGACTTGAATCGCACAGAAATCACGACAATGGAAATAACATTTTTTTCAATGGTGTCCATTCACATGAATGCATCTCAGCACAGAGCAATTTTGGTAAAGGTTCTGTAATACATTGATGTGCGAGCGATTTTGGCCCCACAGAATATGCAAGCCACATCCAAGTAGCACTACATAATTGTGCAAAGTCAGATCAAAATCAGACCGCTGCAGTGTGAACATAACCTTAAAGTGGTTCTAAGGACTCAAGAGTTTTTGCCTTCATGCATTCTATGCATGAAGGTAACAAAACAAAAAAAAAAAAAAACAAAACAAAAAAAAAAAAAAAAAAAAAAAAACAACCCCTGTGTGCAGCCCATCGCAATACCTACCTGAGACCCCTCTGCATCCAGCAATGTGCACGAGAGCAGCAGCTCTCCCAGAACTCTACCTCCTCATTGGCTGAAACAGCAGCAGAAGCCATAGGTTGCTGCTACTGTGAATAACACGAGGAGATAGGGGGGCGAGGCCGAGCCACACTCTTGGGAGCGAGCCTGTTTGGGTGCCCCATAGCAAGCCGCTTGCTCTGAAGGCACTTGGCAGGAGGGAGGAGCCAGGAGCGCCAGCAGGGGACCTGGGAAGAGGAGGATCGGGGCTGCTCTGTGCAAACCCACTGCACAGAACAGGCAAGTATGACATAGTTATTAAAAAAAAATATACCGTATTTTTCGCTCCATAAGACGCACTTTATTCCCCCAAAAAAAGGGGGGAAAATGTCAGTGCGTCTTATGGAGCGAATATAAAGCGGCCGGTCCGGTATTTCTGCCGCCACCATGTCAGAATACCGGGCCGGCAGCTCAGCTGTTCTCTCCTGCAGGCCTTACCTGTTCCTCGCTCCAGCGCTGCACAGTCTTCCCGCGCTGGCTTCTGTGACAGCCGGGTGCCCACTGCGCATGTGCTGCGCTTTGTGAATGATCCGGTGTCTTCTGGGACACATGACAGGTCCCAGAAGGCGCCGGGCCATTCACAAAGCGCAGCGCTTCTCGCACATGCGCAGAGGGCACCCGGCTGTCACAGAAGCCGGCCCGGGAAGGAGACAGAAGGACAACTCCGCGGAAGTGGGAGCGGGTACCTGTCAAATTCAGGTACCCGCTCCCCCTCCCTCCCCAAAGGTCAGCAGTCTCTGTTCATCCCCTGCACTGTCTGCAGTCTCTGGTCATCCCATGCACTGTCTGCAGTCTCTGGTCACCCACTGCACTGTCTGCAGTCTCCTGGTCATCACCCACTGCACTGTCTGCAGTCTCTGGTCATCCCCTGCACTGTCTGCAGTCTCTGGTCATCCCCTGCACTGTCTGCAGTCTCTGGTCATCCCCTGCACTGTCTGCAGTCTCTGGTCATCCCCTGCACTGTCTGCAGTCTCTGGTCATCCCCTGCACTGTCTGCAGTCTCTGGTCATTCCCTGTACTGTCTGCAGTCTCTGGTCATCCCCTGCACTGTCTGCAGTCTCTGGTCATTCCCTGCACTGTCTGCAGTCTCTGGTCATTCCCTGCAGTCTCTTGGTCACCCCCTGGACTGTCTGCAGTCTCTTGGTCACACCCCCTGGACTGTCTGCAGTCTCTTGGTCACCCCCTGGACTGTCTGCAGTCTCTTGGTCATCCCCTGGACTGTCTGCAGTCTCTTGGTCATCCCCTGGACTGTCTGCAGTCTCTTGGTCATCCCCTGGACTGTCTGCAGTCTCTTGGTCATCCCCTGGACTGTCTGCAGTCTCTGGTCATCCCCTGCACTGTCTGCAGTCTCTGGTCATCTCCTGCACTGTCTACAGTCTCTGGTCATCCCCTGCACTCTGTCCGCAGTCTCTGGTCATCTCCTGCACTGTGTCCGCAGTCTCTGGTCATCTCCTGCACTGTGTCCGCAGTCTCTGGTCATCTCCTGCACTGTGTCCGCAGTCTCTGGTCATCTCCTGCACTGTGTCCGCAGTCTCTGGTCATCTCCTGTACTGTGTCCGCAGTCTCTGGTCATCTCCTGTACTGTGTCTGCAGTCCATTGGTTCAGAATATTTTTTTTTTCTTGTTTTTTGCCTCTAAAACCTAGGTGCGTCTTATGGTCAGGTGCGTCTTATGGAGCGAAAAATACGGTATATATATAAAAATTGCCTTTAATATCACTAAGTCTGCAAGCGGAAGCTCCACCCACTATTGCCACAATATTGCAACTGATAGAAAACGCTGCATCACAATACCGTTCCTGTAAGAAAAAACAAAACAAAAAAACACGGTTCACACTTGCTGCACAGTTTATCGTGGTCTTTGAAGTTGGCATGTGGTTCTTAGAACTATGATGCGATTACACAGAACACAATTAATATTTTTAAATAGATGTACACAGGAAATCTGCCCAAAATGCAGGGGGGTTGCCACCCAAGACAGCGGTCTCCAGAAAAAGTTTCCCAATTTCCTTTACAGGACTAAAATTAAGATTTTCTCTCTATGACAACAGTCATAAAATTATAACTTTACAAATCACTTTGATTTCTCTCTCTTTCTTCCTTTTTATTTTTGAACAGAAAACCTCTATGGACTCTGTAAAAGATACTTTAACAAGTATAGCGACATGCAACAGCTACAGTTCCAAAAGCTTGATATTACGGTACATCTAAACTGTGAACAGGACAGAGCTGAGTACTTACAGAGGAATTGCTGGGATTCGAGTGCCATTCTCATCTACAAAGTGTCCACCAGCATTGAGGACCCAGCAGTGATGCAGTGACATAAGTGCATGGCGAGCAGTACTGGGGTTGTCCTTTCCATTTTGGCTATCTGCATTTTTCAAAGGGGAGAACTCTTCCTCACGTAAGACTTCAAATACCGCAAATTTCCTATAAAAATACATATTGTATACAGTACACAGTTCTTGCAACATCTCTGCATGGTACCCAAGGGAATTGTAAGAAGCTACCACACTACTACTGCAGGCCAAACTGCAAGATACAAGATCCTAGAGGCATTTTGCCCATGGGTACTCACTTGGCAAACTGAAAGATGTCAAAGACAAACTTCTCCATCTTTATTCCGTTGGGTTTATCCGGGTGAATTTGCAAACCCTGTGTGTCCACATGAGGTATTTTCTTTACTGCAACATGGTGCTGCAACTGAGGCTCATGGACCCTACAATACATTGGAAAATTTGAGAGGGATACCCTTTACCAGATCTCACTTGTATTAAAAAGTAAAAGATTTGAGTTATGCCTGGTACACACAATGAGAACATCGGACTTTTTTTTGCAAGCTAGCCTCCTATTGAAAAAGCATAGGGTATTAGAGTTACAAAATTCTCATAAGACAGAATGCAACGTCCTGCAAGGATATGATGTATTGTATTCTTTTATTTCTGAGCATGCGCAGTATTGCTCACTCAATTTTTTTTATGGCCAAATACTGCACCAATTAAACGAAAAAAGTTTGTTCGGTTATCTTACGAGAAAAATTTTCGTGTTTGTCCCTTTGGAAAATTTCTCATGAACTGTCGTAAAATCAGCTCTCGAAAGCTGTATGCTAAGGATCAGATTATCGGACAATCACTCCAAAAGCTTTTTTTTTCCGTCCAATTTTCTCAGCGTGTGTACTAGGCTTTACTTCATAACAGCCTAATATTCTTGTCACTTACTCCACCACTTGCTGCAGGAACTGTCTTGTGAAGAAGTGGTTGGCGATGTTCCCAGCATTATACATGAGTCTTCCATCTGTACTCCTTTTCTGTGCTGTAGCCAGTGTGATCTCACTATATTCCACAACCTGGTATACACCATCTACACGGCAAACTACACCAACAGGTTCAGTGGGATTCATCTTCTCCACCACCTAAGGAAAACAGAAGGAACTTTTTTTCATTCCTGAAGCAAAAATTAAAAAAAAAAAAATCCTAATCACAGTGCATATGTCAGTGTAGATTTTACTTAGCATCAGTCTAGCGCGGGAGAAAACCTAGCAGCGTCTGTTATGTAAACTGGAACCAAAAGCGTGACCAGACACATTCTGACCTACTCTCCCACCCTACTGGGTGTTATGTTTGGTAAACAGATTTATTGTCCTGTAAAGAGAACAGAATTAGCATAATAGAGCTCATCAGGTTATGAGGGCTCTTTTGGCACTCTGGAAATGAATTGGTATGTGCGCAGACATGTGGAAGTACCTATCAGGCAGACTAAGGGCCAGTATAATGATCACTTAAAGTGCTTGTAAACCCTTGTGTATACCCAGTGAAGCAACTGGACCTCAGGTTATTCACAGAGATTAAACAAATCCTCCTATATAAGTTGTACCTGTTTATCTTCACCTATCTCCCATCACCCATCTTCACCCATCCTGTACATTCTTAAAAAAAACATACAGATCAAAGGATCTTTCTCAGCTCCAGCAGGCAGGGATCTGACGTCACACACTGCGCAGACTAGAAAGGAGAGGTCTGTGAAACCTGAGACCAGAGAGAAGGGAAAGACATGCTCCCCGTCTACAAAGAATAAGGAAACATGCACAGCAGAGGCTGTCAATCACCTGCTGTGTGTTGGACGAGGGGCAGGGCCATCACCCAGGTTTTTGTGGCTGTCCAGTTAGACTGTAAGAAGTGAGTCATGCACATAGTAGACCGAGTATAAATATCCGAGAGGAACCACAGAAAGTGCTTTGGATTGAGGCTAGTTCACATTATGGAGGGAAATGGTTTATTCATTTCAGAGGTCTACAACCACTTTAAGATGCCACTAGTTTTCTATCTTTGAGCTATCAGTATTGGTTCAGCTTAGCCTTTATAAACCATAATCTCTTACCGTTTATCTTTTCAGACTTCTCTGAACTAGTCATTCAGTTTACTAGATCGAATGCATGCTATAGGTTTTCCTTTAAACTCATATTTTTTCCCAGTACATGTAGTACTTTGTCTTATGTTTCTAGGCGCTTCCTAACCCCTAAATATGGAGGGACCAAACCACCTCCCCTCCTGCTGCAGCTAATCTGACAACTAGGAAGGACACAGGTGCTTCATACCAGCAGCTTGTCTCGATTCTGAGCACTGAGCTCCGAGACAAGCAACAGCAAGAGAAATGCAAAGACTAACAACCCCCCACATTCCTGTTGCTATTGCTTGTCTCAAAAAAGTGCTGACAGCCAAAACAAGCTAACGTTATTAAGCATCCCTCTCCTTCTTAGCTGTTGTTGGATGGTCTGTGGCAGGGTAGGGGAACAATTTAGATCTCATAGCGAAGGGCAGAAGCTCCTAGCAACAGGGTGTGAAGTACTATATGTATTTTGTCCCTGTAGTAAAGAAAAACTATGATAGATATTCATTCTGATGCAATAATAACACGTCTAAAGAGATGCCAATTTCATGTTGCGGCTGTGAATATCCTAAATTACTTTTAACAGTAAATGGTTTATTATGCTTTCTAATGTTGCTCAACTGCTTACTTCCTAACACTCGTTCTTGCTCCTGTACTCAAAGCACCCAAATCTAAATTATTTTGCAGTTATGTATGGCTACTTACCTTGGCTCCACAATCTGCCTCCTTGCTCACACAGAATCCAATAAACACTGGATCAGCCACCTTCACTAGGACGTTGTCTACACAGTATACATGAATGTACTCAATTCGTCTCTTCTCCATATCTTTAAGCACCCCCTGTGCACCCAAAGCTCTATACAGACCTCCATTGCCATCTGTAAATGAGATTGGAAGAGGATTATTAAACATCATTCCTACAGAAGTTATATAGGAGGTAGTACTAAATGGCAACCAAACCTGGAGCCATGGAGAGTTTGCCCTTCTCTTCCATAAGGACCTTCCCCTCAAAACTCATTGCCGGCAGCATGCCCTGCTGGAAAAGGATAATGTTTTCTTCTTCTAGGCCAAAATATTGATGCTTATGAAAGAAATCATGTGTAGATTCCATGGTACGTCCACTGGTCATGATATACCTGTGAAATACAAGTAATTTCATTGAGTGCTGAAGATTTGTTAGACTTACACATTCAGACTAGGAGATGATGCCAATCATATACCTAGAAAATATACCAATTAATTAAAAAAAGATCTATCCAATCTTTTATATTATGAAAAGTCTGCTTTAGGCAAGCAGCATCTATAAGGATATTGCAAAAGCAGTGAGTTCACCTGGCCATCTGCTGTTTGCTTATACCCTAGTGCAGGGGGATGCACCATACAAAGTGGGTATACCTGATTATTTTGAATAATTTAGCTATATATATATATATACGCATATATATATATATATATATAAATATATATATAGAGATAAACGAGATATAGATAGATAGATAGATCATATAATAAAATTATTGAAACTGAGACAAGAGATACATCATTTCAGAACTTTTTCCACCTTTAAAAACTGAAAAACAAACTGAAATCATTTACGGGGGGGGGGGGGCGGGGGGGGGGGGGGGGGGGGGGGGGGGGGGGGGGGGGGGGGAGACTTCATTTTTCAGCATAACAACAACCCAAAGCATACATCCAAATCAACAAAGGAATGGCTTCACCAGAAGAGGATTAAAGTTTTGAAATGGCCTAGCCAGAGCCCAGACCTGAATCCAATCAAAAATCTGTGGAGTAATGTGAAGAGGGCTGTGCACAGAAGATGCCCTCGCAATCTGACAGATTTGGAGTGTTTTTGCAAGGAAGAGTGGGCAAATATTGCCAAGTCAAGATGTGCCATGCTGATACTCCTACCCAAAAAGACTGAGTGCTGTAATAAAATCAAAAAGGTGCTTCAACAAAGTATTAGTTTAAGGGTGTGCACACTTATGCAACCATATTATTTTAGTTTTACTTCCCTCCACCTAAAATTTTTCAGTTTGTTGTTCAACTGAGTTGTACAGTTTATAGTTTGCATTAAACAGGTGGAAAAAGTTCAGAAATGATTTATCTTTGTCTCATATTTTTTACATCACATAAACCTGACATTTTAACAGGGGTGTGTAGACTTTTATATATCAGATAGGACAGATAATGAAATTATAAAACTATATACTATTTTTTTGCAAGATAGTTGTACACTATATTTTTTTAGCAGAGGGCTTTGAATTTTATAACACACACAGCAAGCTGTAGGTGTGATGGACAGCAGAAATATTCTTTTTTTTTTGTGTTGTTTTCTTAACACATGTGGTGTGGTCAACAGTCAGGTTGTCTGCTTTGTTTATAAATTTGAAGTTCCTGTGCCCTGCAGGGGGTGGGAGGTGAGAGTTATCCCAGCAGGGGATCACCTTGCGTTTTTAGATGCCAACTGGAAAACTGTAGGCTGAAGAGAGACCATATCCAATCAGATGCAGTCGCTGCTCAGATATTGAAACAGCTGCTACAATAGCCAGCAGCAGAGATTCCTCCATCCACACTAAACAGAATCTATCAAATTTCTCTCGTTCAGCCCAAATAATTAACAAGAAATCCATTTGTGTATGGCTAGTTCTAAATGCTAGTTTGTATGAATAATTGTCCCCATACAGTACACTTCTTCAATAAAATCTATCTACCTGCCTACTCTCAGCGTTCTCCAGCAAGTAAAGTGAGCCGCTGATGTGCAGGTCAGCTTACAGTGCCAGTCTGATCCCTCTGAGTCCGCATGACTGGCTACGGCGCATGAGTAACGTTGTTCCATGCCGGTCAATGAAGACAGCCAGAGACTGGCACACAGAAGATGCAGTTACCAGCAAGGGACAGGTACCATTGTGGGAAAGCAAAGTAGAGCTCCCTTTAATTCAACTTTAACATAAAATCTTTTATGCCATTTAATTGTTCCCCACTATATATTAATCAAACTTATTATCCCATTCTTACCAAGGAATAACACAGTCCTTCCCATGGCGTTCCTTTGCCAATTTCTGCAGCTTTAAGATTCGCTCGGCTTGTATTTGGAAGAGACTCTTGTGAGATGGCAGTCCCACATCATACATACCCTTTGGGTATGACACCCCAAGGCGTGTTCCCTGCCCACCAGCCAGCAGCAGAACAGCCACTTTGCCATCTGCAATCTGATTAAAACCTAAAGAAAAGGGAAAAAAAAAAAAAAAAAAACTATATTAAAATGGTACATGCTGAAGTGTAGTCAATGCATCACTACATTCATCTTGTTGGTCTTTCTGATCATTCATGTACTAATCAACATCAAAATTTTAAAACTAAAGTCTACTTGCTAGGCATTATTGATAACTTTTTTTTTTGGGGGGGGGGGGGGGGGAATGAATTTGTAACATTGCAAGGATTGCAGCTTTATTCCTTTCACTGTTATGAAATGAGAACCAATATCCTTTTCTTACCAAAAAAAAAACACAAAAAAACTTAACAAGCCACAAAAGCTGGGAGAAAACATACAGGGTGCCCAAAATGCATTATGTCATTTGCAGATGTGTTGCATTCAGACATGTTTTTGGTCCATTGTCTTGCGTTATTAATATATTATATATATGCAATATTAATGGGCTGCCAATGTGCAGCCATAATAAATGGGCTACCATTTTTTTTTGGAGGGGGGAGAGGAGGTGCACCTATTTTGCAAGCTATAAGATCAGTGCCACCAATGAACCCCCCCCCCCCCAAAAAAAAAAAAAAAAAAAAAAAAACACACCACACAAAAACAAAAAACAGTATTTCTCCATATGTTTTTTCTAATGCAGAGGATCTTGGGTGTCTGTGTGGAGATGATCCCCATCTGAAGAATACTGTGTCTATTGGCAGAGTGACCTATTGTTCCACTGAGAACTGTACAGTTTTGGATTTCCAATTAGGCCAGTCTAGATAGAGAGGATGAACCTCTGCAGTAGACAAAGGCAGCAACTCAGGGACCACTGAACAAGCGACCTACTGGCCACAATGAACCTTTTACCTTGAGCTTCCCATTGCTGAAGATGTTGTTGGTCTCTGGTAACACTGCCGAGCACCTCTTGAGGTACAGCTTCCATCCTGGCATCTACTTTTTCTTGTGAAGATGAAGAAGAAAATGCATCCATAGCTTTACGGAAAAATCCATTTAGTTCCAAAAAGTCTAAGTCCTTTAATTCCTCCAACAAGTGAGAACGCTGAACTTCTGACAGCTCATCCCAAAATTGCACTACATGGCTCTGCCCAGCCTTAGACGCACCCTGACGTAATTTGTCCAAATCCATCGTTCAGATCCCAAGTGTCTGCAGGGAGGAAGACATTTAATCATTTCGATCCTTACAGCTCTAAGTTTTATTCTCCCACAACCCTTCCAGGTTCTGAATCCTGTTTTTGGGGATAATCCTATTGTCCATCTACACTTATTCTGTGTCAGTAACTCAAACCATTGGCAGCCTGTTCATCACCACCATTTGTGTTGGGCTGGCCATAAACTATACAATTTTCTTATTCAATTTCCTTTAGATTTAGCTTTAACCATGTAGTGCAAGGGCTTGCTTGACTGCATACAAATGGAAAGTTTTTAGGTTTAGCCTCATATTATATGGTTTTGGTAAATCTAAAAGGAAAATTGTACAAGATTGTATAATGTATGGCCAGCCTTAGTGTGCACACGCTGCCATGTGTTTTTAAGACAGAAGGAAAGGCAATCCAAACAATCACTCACCTTTTACATGCTGCATCCCCTCTGATCTTATGTCTCCTACACATGGGGCTAAATTCTCACACAATTTATTTTTAACCTTTTTCAACCAATCACATGCCTGCAAAGCTCCGGTGAGGGTGTCTGTGTGGCTAGTTGGTGTCTGTGTGGCTGGTTTGTGTGAGTTCTTTCGGGGCATGTCATTGTTCTAAAGCCAGCCATACACCAATATTTAGCAGGGACTGGCCAAATCTGTCAGGCAGGGAAGGCCACAAACTGAGCAGAAGTTGATTGTTTTGATAAACTTCTGCAGAAGAGGCATGTTGGAAAATATTCAGTAGTCAGCAGATTTGTTGGCTTTGTACAGACAAAACTTGCCAGACTGCTTAGACCAAAAAAAAAAAAAAAAGTTATTTACAGTGAGATTTACCTGAAAAAAAAAAAAAAAAAAAAAAAAAAAAAAAGCGTTCACACCTGACAGATCTTTGTGGTCACATGACCACTTAGAAAAAATAAATAAATAATAATTTATATATATATATATATATATATATAATATATATATACACACACACACACACACACACACACACTAATCAGTTATAACTTTATGATCACTGACAGGTCAAGTGAAAAACATGGATTATCTCGTTACAATGGCATCTGAAAGGTGTGTAATATATATTGTGTTTTTTTATATATATATATATATATATATATATAAATATATATATATATATTGAAACACATACTGTTAATTTTGGGACAGGTCAATGATAAAACCACTTTACACATCAAAAGAACTCTTTGCTATGTTAATTTTATGCAAGGTCACCTGGTATTTGGGGAATAATCTATTTATCTAATTATGCATTCTAAAGGGTACATTGTATATAAGTGAAGTCTTTTCATGTAAGATCAAAGTGTGCCAGACTGCTTGCCATTGTACTGAATGGGAAAAATGTGTATATCAAAAGAAGCTTTATTTTTTGGTTAAGTGTGACAAAACACAGGGAACAGGTGACAGGACACAATAAGGTTCTCTGAAGGGTTCTAATGATTGCCTGTCATCTACCTTGTCTGTACCTCCACTGGGAGAGGAGTTTTTTCCTGTCATTGATATGGAATATAGATCGGACTTATGCTGGACGGTGTAGTAGTATCTCTGTGCTTGATATGAAGTATCTTAACCACTTCCAGTCCGGACACTTTCACCCCTTTCCTGTCCAGGCCAATTTTCAGCTTTCAGTGCTGTCACATTTTGAATGACAATTGCGCGGTCATGCAGCACTGTACCCATATGAATTTGTTGACCACTGAAAGAAGGTGTCTTTGAGGAGTTGATTTGGCCTCCAAATCCTCCAGATCTCAATCCAATACATGCATTTTTGGGGAAAAACAAATCAGATCCAAGGAGGCTGCACCTTGCAACATAAGCGATCTACAATTGATGACTTGGTGCCAGATAGCACAGCATACCTTCAAAAGTCTATGGGAGTCCATGCCTTGATGGGCCAGAGCTGTTTTGGTGGCAATAGGGGGACCTATGCAGTATTAGGTGGGTGGTCATAAAGTTTTGGCTGCTCAGTGTATATTTGCATTGAGATTTAATAACTGTATACAGGAAATATAAGAGCATTGGGGAGCCAAAGTTTAAGGCTGCTGCTATCACACTGATCTGTTTTTCTTCTACTTTTGCATCAAAAAAAGCAGAAGAAAAACAAGTGACTATGTATTCCTATGGAACTCTTCACGCTGATCCATTGCGGAACCAGTGCATTTTTTTAAAAATCCTTCTTGCTGCATTTTTGCTGCAGGTTTGGTACAGTAAAAAAGCCGCACCAAAATTGCACCTCCCCATTGAAATCAATGGAAAAAGCAGCAAAAAACGGACCTACGTTGCATTTTTTGCCGCAGTATTTGAGTCACGTTTCGTAAAAAAAATGCGGTAAAATACAGCAAAAACGCATATGCGTTTTTGTTACAGATCAGAGTAAATGTAGCTTAAAAAGCTGGGTGACTATTCCCTTTCCCTCTACTTTAAAGTGGCCGTAGATTGATTGAAGTTCAGCAGAAACCAGACAAAGTTCAGTCCATCTATTTGCAGGCTGGTTGTACCGATAGATTTCAGTATAGCCAGCTTGTCAGGTTTTTCTTGTGTAAATCACTGTCGGTGGCTATAGCTGCTGGCAATGATCATTGTATTCTGCCAGTGGGGAAACCTCCTGCCGTCAGAGCACAATAGGGCTGTGGGAGGGATCCCCCATCAACACTGACTGTGATTGCATCATCTATGGCTTGCTTAAAGTGTTACTAAACCCAGGACCACTTCATTCACTATATCTGGTCTCCACAGGACACACAACATGGAAATGCAATTATTTTAGTAAATATAAACTGCTAAATACTTTTTCTCATCAGCAGTTAGAGCAGTCTTGTGACTTCTATAAGTGTCCAGCCCAGCACCGGTTAAAGCTTGTAGGAGGATTTTTCATTCTCCCCTATGAGGCTGCAGGACCCCTGACCTCTGTCTGGACACTGCTGATTGGCCCTGTGCTGATCACATGCACTCTTCCAAAAAAAAAAAAACTCTCTAGCAATATACACCAAACTGAGCATGTGCAGAGTGACTCCATATGATATGTCTTATCAGGAGATAAGAGGAGGACACTAGAAGAAGGGGAGGACCAGAGAGAAGCCCGGATCAAACAGCCTTTTTACACAATTCAGAGAATTAACCCCCTTAGGTTCCACAGTGAGTATAACAAGCCTGCTTTACTGCATATACAGACATACTTTACTACTGTGGGTTTAGTAACACTTTAAGTTTTGGGGGGAGTACGCATTAGACATATAGAGCCCGAGTCCCCAAGGAAGGGGGTCCCCCCAGAAACCATTACCCAGCAATGTCTCCTCTCCCCCTCCAGTCTGTATCTGATCAATATATATGTACATACATACATACACACAGTGGCATCCCTAGGGGGGGGGGTGCATGCCACACCGGGTGACACCATCACAGGGGGTGCAGGAGCAGGATGCCAGCAGAGGTTTCTGGGCTCTGTGAAGGTCCTGGCCAGTTATTGGGGTGATCCCAGATTCCCGGCACAGTGACAGCTGCCCCCGATGTAGCAGTAAAATGAGTATCCCGTGAAGATATGTCCCCTGAAGCAACTGCGCATGTGTCGGTTTCAGGCCAAAGAAGCCAATCTTCAACTTTAGCAGAGAGCTGCCAGTTAACCCCTTACAGGCTGCAAACCACCGAAGCTGATCCCGCGGATCACTAGGAGTTGCGAGATCAGTTAACCCCGTATAGGTTCAACTGAACTGATCTTGCAACTCACAGTGATCTGCGGGATCAGCTTCGGTGGTTTGCAGCCTGTAAGGGGTTAACTGGCAGCGCTCTGCTAAAGTTGGAGATCGGCTTCTTCGGCCTGAAACCGGCACATGCGCAGTTGCTTCACGGGATACTCATTTTACCGCTACACCGGCATCACTCCTTCCTCTCTGGAGGGGTGACACCACATGTTACCGCACCGGGTGACACCAACCCTAGGGACACCTCTGTATATATCACAACCATTAATTATGTCACACACAGGAAAGAGGGTTTTGATCGATACTTAGAAGATACGGTCATAAATTATTGATCACATCTCTATTTCCATCATACAGATTCAAATCTAATTGATCAAAATACAATCGATCATGATGCATCTCCGTTAAGCTGATCGATGTAAAACAATCGTTAATTTTCCACCCTGGCCAATCAACTCCCATCTAAACTGAGTCTAAGTCAATCAAAAGGAAAAAGGACAGCTATTTGATCCTTCAAATCGCACATCACATGGGATAATAAAATGGAAGCGTGTACGGCCACCATTAACTTTCCCATTTACTATACAATTTGATTGTACAATCTGCTTAAAGCTCACAGACATTCCCATCTGATTGTACAATCTACTGTAGATCTACCAACAACTATACTGTGCAATGGCCCGGCTGGATAGATACAACCTGATTGGATAGAGAGGTAGGTCTTCAGATTACATAGTTGTGGTAAATGTAAAATTGGATTGTAGAAAGATTATAGGATGAGATTGTAATGTATATGATGAGCCTTAGAATTGCCAAAATGATGTAACATGAGGACAAACCCTTCAGCTAGTTATAAGGCAGCCTGGTGTACTACAGTTGTTGTTAGATCTATAGGAGATTGTACAGACATTGTACAGTGTATGCCCCCCCCGACTGTACAGTGTGTGATGGATCTCCTGTATTACAGTGCAGACATCCTCCATTCCGCCCAGCCATACCCCCTGCAGGTGTCACCATTCCCCTTCCCTGTACCTGCACTCCGAGGTCTCCGGAGAAGCCGGGCTGCATGTCCGTGTGTGACGTGGACAAGATGCTAGAATGGAGATATTTAAGCAGAGGGGCGGGGCACGAGAAAACGTCACGGATCACATGGCAGGGTGGAGCTACATTCCAGCTATCAGGAGGGATTGCCCAGCCATGTATGCGGCGTATCCATGGATACGCTTTCCAGCTCCTCTGCGCGTCCCCTCCGCTCTCCGTGCGTAC